GAACGCAGTCAAATGTGATTCAGATGCACACGAACCGGCCCGCCAATGCATACACAAATGTGCTCGTGTCCTGCGGGAAGGACACTTCGTTAGGGGATTCCATTTTGCATATGCTCAGTGGCTCACGAAGTGCAACATATGTATGTGGGGAGTTCCCTCAAAAGCAACTTGTATCATTTCCGAAATTAATATTATAACTTTCAGATATCCAATGGTGAAGAATAGAATCCCTTGATATAAGATATGATACAATATATGTAAGAAGTTCCCTTAAAACCAACTTGTATCACTTTAGAAATTTATATTACATCATTAGGATAGTGAATAGTAAAGAATAGAATCCCTTGATATAAGACATGATACAATACATGTGGGGAGTTCCCTAAAAAGCAAATTGTATCACTTTCAAAATTAATATTACATCATTAAGATGGTGAATAGTTAAGAAAAAAATTGCTTGATATAAGATATGAAACAATATATCTGGGGAGTTCCCTTCAAAGCAAATTTGATCAATTCAGAAATTAATATTACGTCTTTAAGATAGTTAATAGTGAAGAATAGATAAGATATGATACAACGAATGTGAGGAGTTCCCTCAAAAGCAACTATTATTATATCCGAAACTATTACTTAATTTTCAGAAGAGTAAAAAATACCATTTGTTTTGAATACAATCCCTTGATATAAGATTAAATACAACATACATATATGAAAAAAGTTACCTCAAGACCAACTTCTCTAACTTTCGAAATAAAGCTTCTAATTTTTTGACAGTAAAATATAACAATTTGTTTTGTGTAGAAAACCTTAATATAAGATGAAATGGTTATTTAATAATATAATTAATATCAGACTACTCATTTTTTAACATTCGATATGCAGTTGTTTATTACAAGTTTTAGTTATCGCAAGCCCTAATACAACCATGGTTATAAACAGAAAATTCGTAACCAGTCAAGACTCGCGGAAAAATGAAAGATCAAAAAAATGATATTACATATGATTCGTTGTCTAATGTCTTTGCGGAATAAACATTCCATTAAAAACTGGTTTTCTATAAAATGTTAATACAAGAAACCTTTAAAATGTAAATCAATAAGGAGTAAGATATGGTATTTCTTTACCATTAGAAAGATATAAATAGTTTTTTAATTTATATGATTAAAGAAAATGTAATAAGAAAAAGAGTTCTTTGGTTTCTTTTGTGGTAAGCCGAAGCACGAGTTTAAAGATTGTGTTGCAATTCAAATAAAAACCTATTCCTTTGGAACTTATGAAACATTAAATATTAATTTTTCTCGTTCTCTAAAAACTGAAATCAGGTTACTTGTTTGCAATTTCTAGGGTTAACTCGGCGATATCCTGATTCTAACGCACACACTCGCCACCGAACAGGACATTAAACAATCGCACGCGAAGTGCTGAAGAGATGAGGGATGGGATGGAAATGGAAATGGGGATGGAAGTGGGGATGGGGTCGAGGAGCTCGTTTGCTCGTTTGGCTACAGGACACCTTTAAGGACTAGATAAGGAGTGCCCGAGGGGAGGGCGGGGCGAGGGGCAGCCAGGCGACCAGGCAGGCTGGCAACAGCTGCGAAAGCTGCCTGTCTGCCTACCTAAGCTTTCTTAGAGAGCTGCCTCAAGGACAACCCGCGTCACAGGAGCGCTAACGAGGTACAGTTGCCGCCAATAGAACGAGATAGATGGACGCATGAAGATCGAGGGATCGATTGAGCGCCCTCAGGAACAAATTAGATACTAATGGATGGAAACTGACATATCCAAACTAGAAATAGATATACTATAGAATGCAATATAAGATGGGAGCCTGTTTTTGAGGGACCGATCCACCCCTATATAAGTTGTTAGGATCAAATCTATTCAGGTAGAAATCTTAGAAAAATACCAGGATTCCAAAAAGGAGGTCTGCTTTGGGGCTTACTAAGCTTTTTATTTTAAGGCATTTCAGAGAATATGCAAATTTAGGATAGGTTATCTAAAAAATAGAAGAGGTATTTAAAGGAAACACATTTTCAAATCATGTTAGTATATCTAAACTGATCTAAAGATTGTAATATAACAAACGTAGCTTAAGGCCACAGTAGCTATAGCTGCAATAAAAAGCATAGGTTATAGGCAATTTCTCAATTGCCTTTTAACCTGAGAATAAATAAATAAAATAAAAAAGATTGGAAGAATCAAATGTCAGGAAGTAAAGGTTAAAATTATAAGAACCATAAAATAGCCTAAGATACGAATTGAGGTATTTGCTAAAACTATTCCTTTTTCTTTGTCAGTCTGCTTTTAATTCTTTCCCCACCACCAAAGCACCTACGTAACCTCCTTTTAGTTATATCCACCCCACTGTTTCACTCTCTCCTTTATTTTTTCATCGGCTGTTGAACTTTAGAATTGATCCGATTTTATTCGCATCTTCCATGAATTCGCCGCCTCACTTGAGAATGTATTAAATTTAGACGCAGACGAGCCAGATTAGAATGAGGAAGAGAATGAGAAGGCGGGACGACAGACGCTCCATTCATGCCACGCGCATCTTGCGCTGTCGACATTTAAAATAGACGCCAAACACGCAACCTCTTCGTTCAACCACAGAGGAGCCTGCCCCACTCGGTGGCGCTTTCATTCTCATCCACGGCAATTTATTATCCAACTTGGGGAGCACTCCCTGTAGTCGCCGTGTCATTCCCACAATGTTGCAACGGAGTGAAGGCCCCCTCTGTTAACCAAAAGCCAAAAAAAAAGAAGGAATTTCTCATCGGAAATATGAATGAAAGACAAACGGAGGAACTGGGGGAATCGGTTGCGCTCCTAAGTTATAGGTTTTTAATTGATCTCAGTTCTATAAGTGAAATTTCAGTAATCGGAACTACTACTCATAGAAGAAACTTTTAAATATTATGAGTTCTAGTTAGTTGTGTCTTATAATATCATTTCAATTGATAGACCCAGAAGGTATAAGATAACCATTAAACCCAAAAAACGAAAAGAAGAAGATTTGTATGTAGGGTTATGTCCCTAAGGTTAATCGGTAAAGTCTTATAAACACATTTTCTAATTAGTGATCACTAATGTTGAGTTACAAACTAAGACTGATCAGAATTTAGCTCTTATTAAGCCATCCCATTCTTTTAAATCATTCTACTACATACTTTATATCATACTATACAGAACTTTAAGATAAACTCAAACGAAAGAAGTGTTTGTTAACCATCTTGCCGGGCATGTTAGTACAATAGGTGGGGTGTACATATGGCAAATGCCATAGGATACTTACAGATTCAATTGGCTAAACTGCTGATCATCGATTGAACGATAGGATGTCGGTTGAAACTGCTTGAGATTGAGGTGCTATCGATGAAACTGCGGAGAGTTCTCGGTTCGGTCCAGGCTATTGATCCCTTTAAGTTTCCAATTTCTGGCTATCGGTTTTCGGTTCAACCTTCATCGATGGACGTCGCTATCTGAGAGATGTTTGATAGGTCAGGCTTTAGGATTGAATATTGGGTGTTTGCAATTTTCTCGAGGGGGTGGAGAGTCCTTCGGCCTTTCTTTTCTTTTCTACTTAATGGAGCCTCCACTGCTGCCGTCTCACTGGTTCTCTTTTTGGGATAGTATTACGCGATCAAGGTCTGGGGGTTCGGATTGCTCTTAATTGTGAAGATCTAAGAAAGAATTTTATTTGCAAGCCAAAACGTCTATGAAAAATGAGAGAAAGAACTTTTTGTACTGAATCGGATGTACTGAATTTGGATTTAGATCTGTTCTTGCGGCCCGCGTCCGTTTTCTCCTTTCCTTTGCTTTCCTTTCCTTTACTTTACTTTCTTCTTGTTTTATTTTGTTTGGGTTTTGTTATTTGTTTTTGTTCGGTCTCTTGTCTTGTTATGGTCTGTGTGAGTGTATATTTTTGATTTTGGGTAAATTTTTGATTTTTTTTGAGCGAGAAAAAAATTGAAACAGAATTGTGAGAAAGTGAAAATTTGTAGGGGCCTTTTGGCAGCTGTGATTGACAGAAGAGCCAATGATGTCTAAGTATTGGGGTGTCTACAATCATAACAACCCCAACTTTAATATGACACCTTGTTATCGCACAATTACATAAAGTTTGGAAAGGGGAAAAAAATATATCTTAACTATTTGGACTTTGAACATTATACAAAAAACGAAAGTAATTAGTACAACACCATTTTCTGAAATCTTTAAATATAATAGTAAACCTCGTTCTTAAATTATTTCAATCAAAAAAACAGAAATTCCGAGATTCAAATATGAATAATATAATTCTGTTAAGATTAACAGATTAGAATAATTTTAAGAAGTGGTGATATTTTCACTATTGGAGCGAAGAAATTATTATTTACAATAGTACCATACAAATTAACAAATTTTTTCCACTTTTTTGCATAGTACTAGTGTTAGTTTTCATCCAATCTTGTAGTGTTTTTCAGGGATACTACAGAACTAGCCCCCTTTTAAGGTTCTTACAAATGTAGGAGCCTTTGTGCTGGGCTTGTGTGGTTTTTTGAGTTTATGATTGATTTTTCCAATGATTGATTTCGACCGGAAGTAATATTTCGTTGGCAATGTGGATTTTATTTGATTTGCTTTCGTTATTGATTTTTGCGTAGGTGACAACTCTGTGGGTGGGTTGCGGTGGGTGGCATTAGAGTGTGCGGGTGCGAGCGAGATGGCAGCAGCTGCGTGAGTGCGTACAAAGTAAGGCTGGAAAAACACTCTCCCCCTCTCTCTCTCTCACTCTCTCTGGTTTTGTCTCTTCTATCCCTCTCTCTCTCTCTCTCTTTCCCATTCACTTACACTTTGGTGTGTTTCTTAAACCTCAAGAATTCTCGTAGAATACTTGTATTTTTATGCTTAAATCAGCAATTTAGCACTTTTCTTTTTTGCTTTTCACTGGTTTTTCTTTACTTTTCTTTTATATTTTTTTTTTTGGTTTTTTTGTCACTTTTTGGTCATGGAAGAAAAAACAACAAAAATCGCAAATGGCGGCGGCGGCGACGGCGTCTGAATCTATCTGAATCTGAAAACTATCTCGATAGCTATTTAGCTGTAAGCGACGCGGCGTGAGCTATTTGCTATTTGCTGTGAACTGTGAGCTGTGAGCTGAGAGTCGAGAGTCGAACGAACTGACGCAACGGCGACGAGTGAACTGCCTGCCCTGCCGGATATACGGATCCCAATTCCAAGGTGTCTGCTCGGCGCCCGATGAAAATGCGAGGAAAACTCTGCCACTCCGCTCTCTGTCCCTCTGCCACCGCCGCAGCAGCAGCTGCGTTGGCGTCAGCGTCGGCGTCGCATTTTCCCACCCATCCAAAACAGTGAAAGTTGTAAACCAAAATGGCTGACCCTGCTCCTGCGTACGTGTGAGCGTCTATCCGCTCTATCCGCTTTAAAGAGCAGCAGCCGGCTTTCACCACACTCACTCCAAACAGTCAACGGCCACAAGAAAATGATCTTAACTTTCCAAAGGATACATCAAAAAGACAACCAGATATTCACTGGTTTAAAGATATCTTATGAAAATATAATAAAACAAGGAAGAACGCTATAGTCGAGTACCTCGACTATCAGATACCCGTTACTCAAAGGGAAATGGAGATATGCAAGCAGCAAAGCGAAATTAAAATGCACCACCTACCGGCGGTAGACAGATTTAAGCGTTATGGGCGTTAGAGTGGGCGTGGCAAATTTATTATACATTTATACATTTCAGTTCAAATTTTTCATCTAGCATCCAAATTGTGGGCGTCACAGGTTTTCGCGGTTTGTGGGCGTTTAAGTGGGCGTGGCAAACTTTTTTTTAGGTCAATCGATAGGTATTGATGAGAACAATACATTTCAGGTAAAATTTTCTATCTAGCATCAAAACTGTAGGAGTTTCAGTTTTGGGCGGTTTGTGGGCGTTAGAGTGGGAGTGGCAGTCTACTGAAACAAACTTGCGCTGCGTAAGAAGCTCAGGAATCTGTACGCCAAATCTCAATAGCCTAACTCTCATAGTTTCCGAGATCTCAGCGTTCATCCGGACAGACAGACGGACAGACGGACAGACGGACATGGCTAGATCGACTCGGCTAGTGATCCTGATCAAGAATATATATACTTTATGGGGTCGGAAACGCTTCTTTCTGCCTGTTACATACTTTCCGACGAATCTAGTATACCCTTTTACTCTACGAGTAACGGGTATAATAAATAAAACGATTTAGCTTTCACCAAAAATATTATTTTAGGCATTTGGGATTTAGTTAGGGGTATTATATTTCTTAGCGTATATCTACACTTTATAAGGAATTTTTCGTAAAAATTTGGATGCCGTAGCTTTACTAGTAAGCGCTCTGCATATACTCCCTACATTTTAAGGGCGAGTTATATATATATACATTTTTATATTTTATACTAAGAGGTAAATTCAGAAAAAGGTGTTGAAAAGTTGAAAGATCTATTTAATTTGTTCAAAGGAATTTTCTTACTTTAAAAAAGGGGAGTTATTAATGTAATATATGTATTATATGGATCTAATGTTATGATATTCGTTATCGCCTAGCTTCTGGCGATCACTGTGCCAGCTGTTGGACCTGTACTTTGCACTGCTCTTATAGAGGGTTTTCCGACCGAAAGGAAAAACCATCCAAAAAACGCTACGGATAAACGAATATTTTCCATCTGATTGGTTTGGACCGGCTTGCTGTCGGCAGCGCAGTCGACGCCGGCGTCGACGTAGACGCAGCTGCGACGGGGGTGAGTGTGAGAAATGTGAAAAGCGAAAATTCATAGTCCCAGGCGGAAAACTCGGGGAAAAACTCTGAAAAACAAGGGTGGCCCGAGCAGAGACGCTGGCGTTTTTCCCTCTCCCTCTCTCACTTCTCTCCGCTTTTCTCTTTTCTCCTCTCCTCTCCCTTCCTCTCTCCTTCTTTCCCTTCTTTATCCTATCGCACTGTCTGTTTTGTCTGCTGGCTCGTGAAAATGTGAGGAAAATTCAAACTGCCACAGCTGCTTTACAAAGGCAAGACTTACATTTTGAGATATGAGGAAAACAACACGAAAAGGAAAAATATCTCTCGGAAAATTGTGGATTGTATTCCACCTACGATTGCCACTTGAAGCAAGTTGTTGGCATTAGAAAATAAACAGAGCATAATTTAATTTTAACCAAGGAAAACTCTGTGAGTTACCTGATTCTTACTATCCTGTATTATATATTTCTTTTATAATTGATAGTTATGCTATTTTGGGAACTTAGTTCTATAAGACATATATTTTTATCCATAAGGAACGACGACTATTAATCATTATCCATATACCATATTTCGTTCAAGAGCAACTTTAGTTTGATTCTTTATTTTACGCCCTATTTAATCTCCAGAAAGTATGCAATGGTTTTTGGTCAAGGGTTTCGAGAATTTTTGGATAGCGTTCCATAACGTAATTTTTAATATTACTATATTTTAGGTACAAGAATGTATTAAAAAATATTTAAATTCTTGTATGATATAACGAAGTGGAAATATGATATTTTCCAACTAGATTTTCCCACAAGATCTTAAAAGAAGATGTTCCAAATGGCTTATAAAGATAGTGGATTGAAGGAAAGTTAGGATCTTGAAAACGCATTTTGATCTAAGACTCTCTCTTTCCGTTACTCTCTCTCTCTGTTTCCCTCCTGCCGTCTCCCTCTAGCGCTGACCTTGCTGGCATCAAAATTTCTACTTCCTGCTCTCCTACATTTTCCCGTTCCTCTTTATCGCTGCTTCCTCGTTCAGCTAAATCCGATGCGCACCCCAGAGCAACAGAAACATACAAATATATATATAAATTCGACTGTTACCAACCCAACTCAGCCCACAAATACATCCATACCAAACACGCACACACACAGTGCGTCCCGTTTCCGAATTCCGAGCGCAACTTGCGTAGTTTTTCAACCCCAAAATACGGGACAAGGACAAGGTCGAGGATGTGGCCCTACGCCCCTGGACAGGGGCGATGGGTGCAAAATAAGTGCGATGTCCAAAACCCACCAGCCATGCTTAAATCCTTTATCCTTTATGCTGCACTTTTTAGAGCAAGATCTATCTATTGAAGTTCTACTTTAAGCTTATCTGGTACAACTAAACCAGTGATTAGTGATTACTGATTAAGAGAATTAGGTCTATGATGAACATAGAGTCGAACTTGATATTCGAAAAATAATATTCAAAATTTATAACTTAGCCTTAAATCCCATGTTTATAAATAACATGGAGATCCCTTAATATGATAATCATATAATAAGCAATATACTTTACAGCTATAGAAATTAAAAGATATGAAATGTTAATAGTGACATTTAAATGGGTTGATTTTGAGTTTCCACTGCTTAGCTTTTTATACAATTTAGATAAAGATAAAGCATTCTACAAAAATATAGGATATAGGATAGGATTCTAATGGTGCTCCTGTAACGACCATATCTATAATTGCAATATCTGAAAAGTCATATCTAATCTATCATCTATGTAATATAAAACTGGTAATACTGATCTTGAATATATTACATGTACTAAACAAGAAATATTATATTTCTTATAGAATGAATAATATATATAATATAATAAGAATAATATAATAACATCCTTCTTAAAAGTAAAAAAAAAGGTTTTGAGGAAAGTAATTACTTTTGAAGGACAATCTTTAAGGGGTCCCATAAAAAAGTTCTCTAAAAGTGGTTCAATCACTTGATGGAAAACCAAAATTTTCTCGGACGCATCGGGAGGCTGTTGAACCCCCAGAAACCCCTTAATTTGTTTGCCACCACCGCTGTGTGAGCTGTGGTTGAGATGCGTTCCTGCGTTTGCCAGGAATGTTTACAGCCGGCTGGGTCTGGGTCTGGGATTGGGTTCTAGCCAGCTCTAGCCTAGTAGCGTTGCCTCCCCTGCACCGCAGGACGAGGACGATATTACGGGTAGGGGTAGGCAAGGGAAAGGGAAGGTAAAGCCACCACCCACCCCTAAGGCAACTGCGACGCATTTTTGTGTGTGCGTCCTGTGCGTTGCCATGCTGCGATTTCCATTTCGATTTGGGATGGATGGGATCGTATGGAATGGGATGGGACAGGATGGGAGTATGGTATTGAGTGCACGGAAAAAAACGAAACAGCTCTATTAAGGGTGTCACAGAAATCGCATACAAATTCCCATAAGGGCAAATTTCGGTGTCAAATTAATGATTTAAAACCAACCAAATAATAGGCAATGAGAATTATGATCCTAAAATTAGAGCGAACTTACTCTTAAGCACATACAAAACTCTAAGGACTTCTGTAACACCCCGAATTATCTTTAAAAGGTGCCTAATGGCAAGCTCCTATATATTTGAATCCCAAAATCCGATAAAAGAAAGTCCAAGGATATCCTTTTTATTTCATAGCATACTTTTAGATACCTTTTCTGATGATTTTAAACCTCTTAGGATTACTGTAAGTATTTTTTAGTATAAAACAAGATAAAATATATAAATTTTTTTTATCTTCTTTGCACATCACATGGAAATGCAGCTATCTATCTACAAATTATATGTAAAATCATCAAAAAGATTAAGTATTCTTTATGTGTGGGCTGGAATGAGTTGTAGTGGGATAGAATGGTATGGGGAACGTTGGAACGCACATCGGACGTTCCATTCCGCTGCGTTCCCGCTTTTCGTGGGGGTGTCCCGTTACGCACTCATTCGCCATCTCTGTTGCACCCCCGCCACTCGACAATTACCGTTCGAGGATCAAAAGCGGCTGCGAATGAAAAACGGGACTTGGCCCATTCTTCCTCTCCCGTTCCGCTTGCCCCCCTTTTCTTCCTGATTTTGCCCTTTGCTTTATTTACTTTTTTATTATTATTATTTCATTAGATTGCAACCCTCGTGTGTCTCTATTCTGGCATCTCCCCTCCCTTTCCGTCGCCAATTTTTGTTGTAATCGTCCCGTCGTGGAACAAGGACAAATTATGTGGGGGGAGGGGGGTGTGTACTATGGGTTGGTGAGTGCGTACTTTGAAATCTTAACGGAACATGGATGTTTATTGCGCCCAATGCGGATTTCGGCTGGCGCTGACGTCATCGCCATTGTAGTGGAGTTAACCCCTCGAGGGTGCAATTTATTCATCTTCAAAGTTTGGCCACTTTCCTTAACTTTCTGAAAATCCAAGACATACGGTTGTCTTGCATCTCAAACTATGTCCTACATTTATTAAAAAACAAACGGTATTTTCTTACTTTTTATATAGACAACCTCTAAAAAGCCTTATTTTTATTCCGTTAAGACATTAAACAAGCCGTCGGATGAAATGGTAAATCAATTTTAAACATAGGGTTTCCAGTAATAGTTGGTTGGTTAAATACTTTTTTATTTTTGAAATAACTTTTCAGCATAGTACAATTATGGTTTTATAAAACGAATTTTAAGCCACTTAATGATCTCAAGAACATTT